GATCGTATTATGCGTCACTTAGAGCAAGAAAATAGTAATTTTTAGGTTTCTATTGCTTCAATTGTGGTAACGATCAGTAATGCAATGGAGGAAGGCAATATTTTCTCGAGTAAACTCTTAGAAATCGCACCTTCTTCGACTTCGATTCCTACTTACGCTGGACTTTGCTGGTTCCCTCGCACCGCTCTGACGTCAAAGTGACGTCACCAACACACGAACGCGTCCGCGCCGCCAGTGAGCCTTTCTATGGAGCCGGACTATTTACCACAACTACATTCTTTCGAGCGCAACAATCCAGACTTATTCAACTGCGGAATGTGCCTCTGGGATGCCTTGCATAATGGTGCAAAAAGATATTCAATAGGTTATGGGTCATCAATCTACTCACATCTGCACTTATGGAATAGTAATGTCAACAAATTAAGAACTCGAATTGGCCCAAGTATTTAATTAATGTCTGGAAATGAACTGCTTAATGTCAAACCCGTAAAAACAACGGTAACAACAAACATAACAACGGCCCACTATGGTAGAAATGCTTAGTAGAGACGAAAGGTGGAATAAGTTTTTGGCAAGCAAAGCCTTCTCAGTTGTAATACTACATCCTATTTCAATGAGTCTTCTCTTCTTCAAGGGTCGAGAATAAGTGTCCGATTGACACAGTCTAATAGCCTACTCCAGTGTATCACCTTTTTCCGGTACATAATACAATAACAATAAAATCAACAACAATCATAGGTAACTAGATAAACATATAGAGAAATTTCGAAGTAGACAATGATAGAAGAGTCCGACCTAAGATCTCAGTAGAGTGGTCACGTGAGAGTAGGTAGAGTTTCCATCCCATTCCCAACGACAATAGAACCAGACCTGCAACAAAAGTAGGCTGCAGAAAGTGATTGATGAGCGTCCTCTTTGAAACCAATACAGGCAAATACTAAAAAAATTAACAAGCCAATTGATTGATAGTATGAGCGAGAACACAAAAGTTCTTGGGACTTTAGTTGACTGCTCTCCCTAAAGAGCGCATGGATCACGCAGTGCTACAGACGCCACGGTTTGATTCCGAACACCAAAAGTCCGTTCTGCCGATTTCAAGAAATTTCAGATCTTCTCCAAAGAGGGGCTTCATAGGACACCCACCACAACCGCCCCTTAAAGGGAACCCTCACACAAACTTCCAGCACTACTCCCTCCCCCACCTCACCACTGTGACTGTTTCTACAATATTTGATTCCGACACCAGATGACACACTCCAACTCATACCGCCTGCCATTTATTTTCCTATCAGTCGATGATACACACACGCACTTATTGACCGAGAACCTGCGTGGAGACAGCTGGCATTATTCGACACAACACGGCAGAAACTGGGAGTCCATCCACCGAGTACACCTAGTTCTCAGGGCGAATTATGGCGGCTCTTGGTTCACGACTTACCCCTTCCCGCTGGGGTCGCGCCGCGTGGCCTCGCCCTTAACCGGCTAGCGGTCGTTCATTGAAGAAGACCCTTACAATCAGCGAAAGAGACTCGTAGTATATCAGTATTTGAACGACGAATTCGCTCATTCCATGGAGGTGTCGTAAATACTGCGAAAAGAAAATCCTGAGGGCGACCACCTATCCTTTTCCCTATATACGTCAAATTCAATTTCTACCACCACCACTCCTTTAACAACCTCAAACATGACCACACCAAGATCACAAACACCCAGAATCCCAAAAAATTTCGCGCACAGAAACCGCACAGTTTAACTCCCAAGAGATTGGTGGCTCGTGACCCATCCCTGCATGCAATGTGCATGTTTCGGTAAACAATGCGAGAAACTATGGGAATGCTGCTACCCGTAAAATTTTCGCCATACAACTGTACAAATGTTGGCGGCGGAGTGCATGTGTATTTTGGAATGCTGTCACTCAAAACCATTTGGGCCCCTCACCTGTCAAAAACATTTCACTCTTCTGCATATTGCATCTGATCTATTACGCCAGAATGTTTTGACTCTACCCTCCAGACTCTTGAAATTGAATTCAATCCGTTCCTACGTTGCGTCGCCCAATGCGCCCAATCACTTTGACTTTGTTCAGTGCGCTCCCCCTTGGCTCCACCCACTTGTTTGTGAACTGCCACAGTATGTTTCCAAAGGTTTAGCTTAACGAGAAAAGAATGTTTCCTGCATGGAACCTTGTACACTGCAACTAGCGATTACAGATGAAGCGTTTATGTGGGAAGACACACCATAATTCTCCATGCGCGATTCCTTCAGAAGCAGATGATGCCATGAATGACGGTTGTTAGAGATGAAGGCAAAGAGATGTTTAACACGTTGACGACAGGCTGACGCGCATGCGAGTCAGAACTTTTGCACCGCACGGACATACTGACGCGCAGGCGCGTCAGAACCATTTTTGTTGTGCTTGCGCTCCTTCTTCTCGAGTTTTTTGTATCCATTCTATAGATAAAACATTAACAGACCTATAAACCACATGGCAGCCAGAGTGGTCAAATATGCCTTGATTTAGCAAAGATTTTCTGCACGCACAATACTTTCACTTCAATTTTTTCCTAGTATTCCTTTCAGATGTTGGTCAGACTCGGCGATTGCATCGCGATGGACCAGTGCCGAAGCGACGCGATCGCTCCACCGCTTGTACATCGCGATGCAGTCGCTCTTGCAATGTGCACAAGCGACGGGCGATTGACCCCGCTCACATCGATGCAGTCGACATCGGTATTGATCGCGGCGGGCCATTGCCCGCAGCTTGCACTTCTGGCAGAGCGATTACGCAATCGCGATGCAGTAGCTTTCGGCAGAGCGATTGCATCGCAATGGACAAGCGATGGAGCGACCACGTCGCTCCGGCACTGGTCCATCGCGATGCAATCGGCGAGTCTGACCGACATCTCACTGTTGTAAACATTTACATGAAAGACTGTAGAAGCATTTGATGCAAGACTCTGTGAGTTTCAAGATATTTGCATTCGATGGATGGATTAACTTAAGTATAAATGCTTTTAACTTCATTCGCAGCTAAATTGATGTTTTTTGCTTCCTCGTGATAATAATGCTTTCTTCTGAACAAAAATTAACTGTTATTTATACGGCCTTTATGCTTTCATCCTTGCCGAAATAATTCTGCGAGATTCAAGTTATTGTGCCTTTAAAACAAAAAATAAGCGGAACTAAGGTGACGACGGCGCGCTCACAAAATCGCTCCTGTCCCATGCGGTGCAAAATGCCAAACCACGCGATGTCGTCAACGTGTTAAGGGTGCAAGTGTGGAAAAGAAAAAAATGAAAACGGCAAAGAGTCCGCGAAATAGGATCCCTTTTGCCTGTTGATTCCGTTTTAGATGGGTCACCGACGCAGACGGGTTTGCTTGCAAAGTTAATCCCGATAACCGGTATTGTGCATCAAACCCACGCCTTGGTTGATAAGGCGTTACAAAAGCATACGGCCGCTTGAAGTGAAGTGCTTTCAAAAGTACAGAGGAACAACATACAACGCGTTCTTGTTCCCATTTAGCTGCTTGAAGGGCGTGGACAGCCGCAAAGGAGTTCATTGATGCGAATGAGATCCTGGTAAACCGCAATGGGCTCACTCATCGCAGCGGAACGCGATTCGTATCGCTTCCTTAGAGAGCCAGGCTTCATTGACAGCAGGTGTATTTCTCCAGATTATCGTGTCATCTGCCTTTAAGGAATAGGTTCAAACATAACTGGGCGAGCCTTTGTCTTTACTTCCGCACCTATGATTAAAAAAAACGTGTCCGTTAGGTAACAAATTGGGCGACTAGTCAAACACCGAAAGTTTCAGACCCGAGAAACTCAAAAGATTTGAAGCCTGCACTTGCCCTTAATCGAATCTTCTGACTCGAGACATAAAAAGCGTATTGAATGTCGAGTTCAAGTCACATTAAACAAATGAATTAGGTCAGAGGTAGAATAAGATATTATCCCTTGCATAGAGCCATTTCTGCTAGATGAAAATAATTGGCCAGTAAGAACCGCACAACATAGCTCGTAAGACACTTGAACACCTTACATCAGAGTACTCGGCTACAACTCACTTCGTTACTAAAACTGAAGAAGGATCTCGCACACCGAGAAGGACAGCGTGTAGAAAACGAGCCTGAACGGAAAGCTGAAACACTAGAAACAAATACAAGTAAGAGACGGCTACAGAAGTAAGCCTCACCTGCTTTGTTTGCACATTGATGGAATGAGCTGCAAAGCGGCAGTCCAATGAGACTGACAACACCTGAAGATCTGTGTCAGCTAGCCTGAGAGCAACTCCTGAAGACATAATAATTACTAGTTATAGCAACTACTGTGCAAACGTAGCACCTGGCGCCATCGCTATGAAAGCAACAGAAGCGACGGAAAGAGAAAAGCTCTAAATGGTAATCTCTAAGTTCATCGCCCACCAAGTTGCCTGTGTTAGTTTTCAATAATATGTAATGGGAATTCTCTAGGTTCCACTCAGTTTTACTCAGCCATTCATCTTCAGGTAAATGTTTAATCCTTCTTACCAGTGACAGTGGCAGTGTGATAAGGCAAAGTGGCCAGCTTCTCCAAATAGACACCACGTACGGAAAAGACCGTCACTGTCCCAGACTCAGACCCGACTGCTATCCATTTCTGGCCGTTGGCAGAGAAGTACGCGATAGCCGAAAGGCCACAGCGTTCCACGAACAACTAAAGATTTTTTGATACGAAGGAAAAGTGTACCGAAGAAATGAATCCAATCATACAAAGGAGTACGGAATGAATCAACCAACCGTGCAAACAGGTTCAGGGTTCCCAGTTAACTCCCACAAAAACAAATTTCCTGATGTAGATGCAGCACAGAGATAGACAGTACCGCCAACCGAATACGAAACAACCTATAAGGACACCCAACATTTGAGAAGACTTGAAAGAACTTTTTCCGGTAAAATCTTGCATTTTTCCCAACGCGCATATGTCAGTTGTGATCACTAAAGAGAACACACAAAGTTTCACGCACAAAGATTCAGTTTTCGAGATGAAACAAAATTACAAAAACCACACTCTATGGACAATCAAAGGCAAGTGGCGCGATGCCGAACTTGGGGCATGGTAAGGAATGCGCCTTGGGGCGGCTACGTACAGGCGACGCAATAATTGAATACACGTAATCCTTCGACTACTGGTGGTACACATGTGTACCACTTCACCACCACGATTTCGGGACAAATTCAGACTGGAGCGCACGCTTGGTGACGGGTTTGTGCACATATAAAAATGCCATAATTTTTCCGCTTGTAACAAATTATCACAAGCCAAAGCGAGTTGCTCTGGATAATTTGAAGGCAAAGTTCGGGCTCAGACCCACCTGAGAAGCCATATGGCAATGGCTAGAAGTGCTGAGCACCCAAGTGCAAAATTAGCGCCACTTTTCTACATCGAAACCCGTTACCAAGACCCTAGGTGACGTGAACTTCTAACAGACTCCACCAAACATAACATGGTCCGCCCACTGATCGATGTCTTCTCTGCGTTGCTGCGTTGATCTGCTATGCCCTCTCTTCTCGGAATTCTCTACCACCCTCTGCGCTCAAATTATCTCTCATCTCCCTCCCTGTCTTAACTTCTTCACAGTATGAAGTAAAACGCTCGTATTTCCTGTGCATGTCAGGATTTTTTTCCTTTTTTCTTCATCGGCGGTCCACCTCTCATCCCTCTTTCAAATTTGAGTGGAATCAACCCATCAATGTAATCCTGATTCCTGCCTTTAATACGGCATATTCTACCACACGCGATTGGTAAGTGTACACACCTCACAAAAAGATAATTTTTAAGACTCACACACCCTTGATAATTGCGCTACTTGTTTTGGATCCCTCTACATTTGTATCAGGTGCAACATATGCTAACGAATGAAGAAAGATGAGGCATTTTATCAGGCGAACCAGGTAGAGAATTACGCCCACGACAGTGTTGGAGATTCCGACCTCCAAATTTCTGACAGATCCAATGGTGCGGAAGTGAAACTAGAAGATTACTATGACGACACTTTGAAACAGTAGAAGGCGACGAAAAATTGTGAAGGCAGAAACACCCGGTCAGACCCGCAGCGCTTTTTCCGAGTGCGGCTTGCAATTCCAACCAAGTGTGGTCGACACCGGACAATGACTTTGTTAAACGATTGAGACATGGAAAATGTGTATTCGTAATTGTCAATCAAGTTGCCCATTTACATTTCAAAAATACTTATTCGAGCGGTGATGAAGTAGTGGCAAGAGGGACCGGTACCGCGCTCATAGTCACTGGATCAAAATCCCAAGTCGAATCCAGCGCACGTCAGCCAAACTTCTATGTGATTAGTTATTACAAGGAGCGATACATGGAACACATCGGTAAATCAATTTTGACAACATTCCGTGAACCCAGTAGAAGTGTCCCCGTCGCCAGCATTTGTGACAGATGTCCTGCGGGAATTTGAACGCGTAGCAGCCCTTTCGGTTTTTCGAATTTCTTTACCGAAAACAAATGCAATTTTTCTGTTCTTTTCGTTTTTATCGTGAACGATGGGTCCTAGGAAAGTGAATTATAGGTGAGATAGAATCACGATTCTTCCGGGAAGGATTGCTTTGGGAGTGACGTTCTACATTCTCACCTTAGTGAAGATCGAGTAGTTTGGGCTCACTAATTGGGAGAAGCTTGTTTCGCTGTCAAGCTCAACACCACGATTTTCATCAACATACAGATTCAACCACCTGAAAAATTCCACGGTAATGTTCAATATATTGTAATGTGAGTGAACATCTCATGGTGCAACTTGGCGGTGGGCAGGGGAGGGGGGCCACGCTCAGTAGCAGGAGAAACAGGAGATTTTTCATCAATAAAATTTGATTGGATGGAGATTTCCCTGCCAAAAGCCGGTGTAGATGAATGAGGGTATGGATATTTTTCCAAGAAAGAATACTTTCCAAATTCCTTTAGAAACACGGCAGCCACCGGTGGCTGCCACTGTCACGAATAGGTTAACGGGCACGGCGGCACTGCTGTATTTGAAACGGCTACCCGCCGGCGCGATGGAAACGGCTTTCAATACTAAGCATTTAGAAAAGGAAGGAATCAGGGGGAAATGAAAGGTGCTCACACATTCCAGAGCTCCTCCCTCCTCAGGGCTTGATCTTCGACTTAGGCATGGCGGAGCGTCACCCTGCTACTGAGCGATGTGCAGAGGGCGCATATGAACAGAGCGCCGCGCCGCCGCATTCTTCCTCCCTCCCTCCACAACCCGAGTTCCAATTCCAGTCATATTGCTGAAAATGATTAGGGGTGGCACTGCTCGGTCTTGATAACCGCCCAAGGACGTCTAGTACGAAGTCATGTTGAATAGCATGGCTACTGACGTCGCTGTGAATGATTGGTATCTCGAGAACCATGAATTTTGATTGTGAGTGAGGACATGCTGACGAATAGTAATGCCTTCCAACCTATTATTGTTTAGAAAACATGGGGGCCGAATTTGGCGGCGACAAGTAAGCAGCTGGTATTGTGAGCGCGGAAAACTGACAAAAGAGTACATGATGGGAAAGGTCCATATCTTCTAGTCAGACCGCGATCGCCCCAACGTTTCGGAAGGTTCGAAGATCTGTGATTAGGAGATTCAGTGGCTTGCCGAATCTGCCATCATGTATGAACGTGGTTCGAGGGTGATTGGATCATCCACCAAGGCAAACTCAAGCCGCGTGATATGTGGTCGCATTGCAGACGTTTTTGCTGCGGGAGTACGGCATTGGTGCGGTGCGTGTTGTGTGACCGCTCCACCCTAGTAGGACATAAGCCATTTGGACACGGTGAGCACTCGAAGTCAGCGTGAATTGCGATGATCCTGCAGCAGTCACGTACAATTCGCGACGCACTGACGTGCTCTCTGGAGGAACAATCTTACAAATCACGCAAACAATGAGGCTACCCCAGCCCCCCAGGGCAACGACCCAAAAATGGAGTGGCATCGCAGCATCGCCCCTCCGCTTGCGCGACAAAGCTGAACGCCGTGCGTGGGCAGGGGAGGAAGACCCCACGCAGGGTCAATCCTATGTTGCTACAAGTAAACGGGGGGTCGTAGTTTGTTGCAGTTTGTGTGGGGGGTCGTACTTGTTTCGGTAGCGCGAAATTACATGTGATGCGGTGAGAGGCGTGGGAGAAAATTTGCCGCTTCAGCGTGCGTATACTCCCCCCCCCCCCGGTGTTTGACGGTGGTTTTGAGGGAAAAAGTGACTGTGAAGAGGGGTTGTATGAAACTTCTCGTGAAGGAGGGGAATCGAAAATTCTGCAAAAAGTACCACCATAGGAACGACCCTGACCCCACGTGCCGCGCCATCTCACGCCAAGCCAGTCCAATATGCGTCGTCATATTCCACCTCATTCTAGCTTACCTGCGCTTGGTATAGTTGGCGAGTTTGCTCGACGCATTCTCTCCTCGTTGACAGAGTGCGTAGAAAACGAGACGTGGGAGGCGAGCACACGTGAAAACCACTAACACGTGACATTGCGCACCTCAGTGCTAGCGCTTCACTGCGTCACTGCGTCGCGCATTGCATGTGACGGGAACATCATAATTCACGCTGACTTCGTGTGCTCACCGTATACAAACGGCGGAAGTCCCCTAGTAATCCATCGGAGGTTTTCGCGCAAATTCGGACCTCAAATGCGCGCAGCGTCACACGGTGATTTTCCTTTTACGCACCCACCGCATAAGCGCTGATCATGATAGGACTGTCGCGATCAGGACTCAAACAAAAAAATGAAAAATGAGGTCATACACATGCTTACTCAATTTTTCCATCAGCATAACACACAGCACACAAATAATGGGAATTTGCCACCTGAAATAGCGATACAAATAGTACCCCAAATTTTGAGGCATTCAATATGCCCATAGGGTAGACGTGCGTTCCTGCTAGTCAAAGGCTGCAGGGCTACCATACAGCTTGACCATGACTCAAAACATGGGATACCTGGGTAAAATCAATATCCACTACTCGAGCAGAGGTCTCCTTACGCTGATAACGTGCAGACCGAACAGCATATGAATTTCCATCTACTAGAGCTGAAATGCTGAATTCTAAAAATCTGCCGGGGTGTAAAAACTGAAGCGAAACCAGTGACCCAAACAAACAAAGCAACCGTACCTTCTGCTTCGACCATCCAAGCTGTAACTGTACCCTTTTCTCCACCAACAACAACCGCACATCTGCCACATGACATTAAAGACGATCGAATACAAGTAGGAGCCGACGGATTATATAAGGACAAAAGCAATGACCACGCTGGAATCGATGGAGTATAGAGCCATGAGCCGCTCATTGAGAGCGAAAAACACTACAAACGACCTCACCGCGTTTTCTCCATCGTATTTCTGAGAACTGGATGAAATAGTCAGCCCCAACAGTTATAGCGCGGGTGCTTGTATCAGTGTCGTCCAATAAACATACACCGATCACTTGCGTACGATGGAAGCATTGCTCGAGGAAAGGGAGTCGTTTCAGATACAAATCAATAGAAACAATGGACTGCAATGACAACGAACTGCATTGGAACTTCAAGTGAAATGACTTGCTCATTGGCATAAACGTCGATTATTAACTTACAAGGTACCGCTGCAACTGCGCGCATTTTTTTAAGTACACTTCGCTACAAAGCTATGCGACATACCTCTAATTTTGGGTTTCCGAATTTGCGAGAAAGTGAGCGCAAATATGGCTAATGATTTTCGATTCGACGTGCAAAAAAACCAATTTAAGGAAATCTCGAAGCAGTTTCATCCACTTCCAGAAATTCACAGTCAAAAAATCGAAAAAAACGGCAGCTGCAAAACTACTATATGACATGGCAAAAATTTTAACAATTTTTTACTTCGGTAAAATTTTTCACAACACTTTACAGTCATAACAATGCGGTGTTATAGATAGGTAGTCTACGGAATCGCCATGAGACACTCACCTTGAAGAGCTGATTTAATTCGTTTTCTATCGATGTTCGTAAGCCTCTTCCTGGATCTGTGCGTAATCTTTGAGTAGCGCCTTTTGCAGGCACTGCACCTAATTTTACAGATTGCCTAGGAATAAAGACTACGAGCAAGGATGCCCTATAGGTTCTCCATCGACTCTAGACCTGACTACAAAGCGGACCATTCGAGTAAATCTACATGGTGGGCCTCGAAGCAAGTCGAGGTCGATTCAATAACATTAGCAGCGTTGAACTGCCAAAAAATGTGTAGACGACGACGGCCTTGCATGCCAGACCGCAGCCGGCGGCGTTAAAACTTATAATGGTTTTCGGTGAATCCCTCAGCTTGTCGTACAGATTGCAATTCTTGGTTCATCACCTGAAGGCCGAACAACTTATTTGGCGTTGATGTTACAAGTAGTTATTTCCGGGGGAAAGATGTTCCTCCTAGCCAGTTTGATGAATGGCACCAGTCCAAAAATGATCTGAGCAGAAATCCATCTTACCCTTGAAGAGGAGCTTGGTAATGATACTGCACAGCCTACAGCTGATGTCGCGAACTGGACGCTGTCTTCACAAATCATCGAATGAACTCCACGGACTAGCAGTAAATGCTCATTCATCGCCTGCTACCGTATACGATATAGAGTCGTCAAACGGTCGATTAACTCCTCCATCACATCTCTACAAATCCGTCATCGGCTACAAAAAAGCGCTGCTCAAACGGATCCAGGAAGAGGCTTACCAACATTGGTAGAAAACATGTTAGATCGGTTTCTCAAGGTGAGTGTTTCATGGCGATTCCGTAGACTACCTATCTACAACAAAGTACTGTTAGGATTGTGGATTGTTGTAGAAAAATTATACTGAAGTAAAAAAAAATTGTCAAAATTTCTGCTCTGTCAAATTCGGCAACAGCAATATTTTCAATGATGTGACCCTAGATTTCTGGATGTTGATAAAAAGTATCTGGAAATCCTTTAATGTAGATTTCTTCATACGCTGAATCGAATGGTATAAGCCATTTTTGCGCCTAGCTCTTTGCAGCTCCACAAACCCAAAATTTGGGGTATGTCCTATAGTTTTGCAACGGAGTGTATACGGTCAAAATAAAGTGCTGGCAGGGTGAATATAAAAGATTACCAAAGTATATTAAGTGCTGCCTTTCTGCTTCAAAAAGACGACATGAGTAACTGAACTGCCCATAGACGTAAGCGAACCAGCCCTTTTGGCGCTTCGGCTGGGACCGTATGCTGAATGTTGGGAGGGGATAGGTACCCGACGGTGGACGGACCACTTCAACTCGGTCTTTAGAACCGCCACAATTTGGTGCTCACCTCAGAACTAACCCTTAAAAAGAGGACGGGTCCGTCCCCTCTCCAAGGCTTAGTCCTAGGGTGAGCAAACCAGCGCTTCTGGCAGAGCTGCTGGACCAGCTGCACCACTTGCGTCCCAGCCGAAACGCCAAAAGGGCTGGTTTGCTTACCTTCTGCCTGTACGCAAGCACTTTTTTCTTCACTACTCTTAAGAGAAGTTTCAAGAAGTTCTAAACTATGGAACTTACTCCTTTACGAAGAAAGTCGAATGTAGCCCGATGTAATCTGACATCTTGCTCTCTCAATACATCATAATTTGGGTACAAAGTGCAATACCACTGCCGATGAATTCCACCGCAAGGTACAGTACACAATATATCACCGCTTCGAACATCAACTGCGTAAAAATTCTTCTGAATGAAAGAGGAATAGTTCTGCCATGCTTATGACTATTGCATCCCTTGAGAGAGGGTAAATTCGGAAAGCTCTTAACACGTTGACGACATCGCATGTTTTGGCATTTTGCACTGCGTGGGAAGAGCAATTTGCGAGCGCGCTGTCCTCATTACTTCTGCTTATTTGTTGTCATCACCTTACTTCCGCTTACTTTTTGTTTAACATGCACAACAACTTGAATCTCATGGGATTTTTTCTCCAAGGATGAAAGCATAAAGACTCATCATATAAACAGCAATACCTTTCTGTTTAGAAGAACGCATAATGACATAAAGAAGCAAAAAAAAACATCACTTTCGCTGCGAATGAAGTTAAAAGCATTTGGTTCTTCCATCAAATACAAATATCTTGAAACACACAGTTTTGCATTAACTGCTTCTACAATCTTTCATATGAATTTTCACAACAGTGAAGGAATACTAGGAAAGAAAAATGAAAGTTTCGTGCGTTCAGAAAATTTTTGCTGCATCAAGGGATATTTGACCACTCTGGCTGCCATGTGGCTTATAGCTATGCTGATGTATTATCTATAGAATGGATGCAAAAACTCAAGAAGGAGCGCAAGCACAATAAAAGTGAATGACACGGTCCGATGCGGTGTCAAATTTCTGACACGCATGCGCGTCAACTTGTCGTCAACGTCTTAAACTCGCTTTGTTGAAGAAGTTGCCATACCGTATAGAGAAAGCTTTCATAAAAAATAACCTACTGCGTGGAAGCCGAAAATGATGCTGTTGTCTTGTGAAAAGGAGCTCGGTGTAAAACCCCGTAACCATGGACATGCGAGACCGGCAGATATAACTGCCACAGATGAATGCATGCCTGAAACAAAAACAATAGATATGTGACGTTAGGTACGAGAAGGAACGTGGTAGAACGAAACAGGATGAGCCACGTATCGATAAAATTTGGCTAAAGGACTTCCCGCGGGCTCATGCGATGCCCCGATTTCGGATCCCAGCCCTAGGGAAGTCTCCAATACTCTCCCCATCCCAGACCACCACACTCACCATCATAGCTTTTTCTATGGTACGTGATTTTCTGATTCTGGGAACAGTCATCACAGCCCAATTGCGCCCACTTTTCCCACAGAATCCGCCGAGCGAAGAGGGGGGGGGGGAGGTGGGTAGGTGGGCAGATTTGTCTGATGAAGCGGCAAATCTTCTAATTTAACCACTTCGTGTATATTTTTACAAAAGTTTCCCAATTTCGACAGAAAACCTTTTGAAACAACCCCCCCCCTTCTACATTGATGGTAGCATCACGACCCCTCAACTTCCAAAAATGCCATGCCCATTTCGAACCATTTGACCTTCACCAAACATGATGGCAACCCCTTCTCACTCCAAAAAACCCAATACAAACATCCTCGTTGAGAAATGTGCAACCCACGGTTGACTCTGGTTTCCACCCTGTCTTCTTCCACTTCAAATCATACCTAATTTCCTCCAAAGTATCTCAGTTGATCGAATCGGGGAGTTCAGAGGAGAGAGGAATGGGTATGAAGCGAAAAAAGACAAGCAGAAAGTTCAAACTTCTCGTCAAATTCCTAGTTTTGTGGAAGTCTCCCAAAAGCCCCTATAATATCACCATGTACTACTGTCTTCTTCCGAGAACAGACTCCCAGTGTCACCTAATCCGATCATCATCTTCTTCTTCTTCTCCCTAGCGTTAGTCCCGCGCAGTCGCAGGGTCCGCTGTCTTTAACAGTCGTCGCCACTTCGCTCTGTCTAGGGCATCTTCTGCTGTGGCCGTGATTTACTGACCACAGAACTCAGGCGGGAGTCCTGCGAGCCACTTCCGCGTGACGTCCTAGCCTTATCAATGATTCTTTGACAACTTTTAGACATGGTTGGTGTGACTGGGGTATTCATCAGCCGGCCTGTCAACCTGGGCCTGAAGCTGGTACTAGAACTATTTTTGCAGTTTCTGCAGGGCATGGTTTCGAGGAGAGATCGAACTCGCGGTTTTTCAGAGGTGCAGACATGAGTCTAACCTCTTAACCACTCGGCCATCCCTGCCTGTCACCTAATCCGATCTCTTTCCCCGAAGACACACACGCCTCCTAGTGAGGAATCCTTGACGTGGGCTCACCCTTCTACACGCCACTTTGTCACAAAAGTTAGGGTGTGCAAGACAATAGCCACACTTTCCTGACAAGAACTTAAATGCCATTGTGAACATTTACGTTCGTTCAGCGGCCGGCTCCGCTGGGAGCGCGTTATCCCTGTTGACGCATGGACGCGACACCTTGTTCAATGCGTTTCGCTGGTGAGGCACCAAATGTTAGAGCCCATTGGTAATTATGAGCCCAAAACATTAGGAGATAGGGAATGCTCGGAAACGATTTTGTGCCATTGATTGGTTTCAAAGGAAACAACTAATCTGATCTACTCTCCGAATTACTGCGTTCTAATCTCAGTGAGTACTCTGACTTGATTGATAGGACTAATCTCACATCTATCAAACCTTGGAGTATGAGCTGGGATTATAAGATTCAACGGAAAAATCTTAGATAACTTATGCACCGCGAAAGCCGTGTTCAGGTAAACGACTAACTATACCAAAGCCAAGGCAAATGAACATACAAGTTTTTAGAAACTGAATCACTCATTCCACCCCCCCCCCTCTCCCCCAGATCAGATCACTGTACTTTCGAGGACAGGCGAAAAACGACGAAGTCGAAGAACAGAATCCAAAACGCCAAGGCCTGCAAAGTACACTTCCAATGGCATGAAGTACTCCTATCGGGTCTCATCCAGTAAGGGCAGTGCACCTACGCTAATGCCACCACTTTTGCAGGAGGAGTCCCCTGAAGCTACGAGCTGTCGGTGTCTTCATTCACACCACATCCACCACCATCATTTGATTTTCTTGTGTGCAGCTTTTCTTCTGTACAATATGGCGAGAAGAGCCCGTGTGAGTCGGACGAGAATTTTCTAGGGGCTGTCTGGAGAGGGAGCAAATCCGGGGAAAACGAAGACTTCTCGCGCACCTTCTAGTCATTTCCTCCTCCTCTAACCATAAAGCTCAGCCTTCCACGTCTCATAGTAAAAGTTGGTCGTGGTTTTGAACGCGTTGGCCGCTCTGAATCGCGGACTTCCTCGCTGGATGAGAGTCCCACTACGTAATATGAATGCAAAAGGACTCCAACATGTGTTGCGCGCTACCCGTCAAACGGATTGAAGGACTCAACGTGTGGCGTCAGTGATTCAAGCAAGAATAATGAGCTTCGCAGCTGAGCCGCGACGTAACCGTTGAACGAACGCGAATGCTCACGTTGGCGTTTAAGTTCTTTCCTTCACTGGTGTCACTTTCCTGCCCCTGGCTAAAACCTGCTGCACAGAGGAACGTCATGGTTGGGTTACAATTATAATGTACTAACCTTCAAGTCAGACTCATTACTTACGATTTCGAATAACTAACCCCATCTGCATAGCACAAGAACGCCACTGCTTCCCAGAAGAAAAATGTTTCCGTTGAAACTCCTCACTTGATTAATCGGTTTTGCATCGAAGTGCGCATTCAACTGAAAATATGTAGAGATCAAAAGCAAGAAACATTGTCTCAAGCATCTCGTAAGAGTAAAAACGCTACGCAGTGATAGGTCTTGCGTGGTATGTCAGGATGTGGGCGCTATATATTCAAACATCTTCAAGGACGCAATTCATGATAAAAAGGCAGCCCATTGGAAACTAAGCTAGAGATGGTCGCGATGCACGAAAAAAAGGAAAAAGTGAGAAAATGGTTTACACTCCGAGTGGGACCACGTTCTTGCCCGTTGGTTTGCGCATTGAAGCGACTCATCGGAGCTGCCCTTCACGACGCTAATTCTCTCTGCTGCACGCTGCGACGCAGGCTAAGAGAGGTCATCCCCGAGTGCCGCGCCAAACCACGGCATGTGTGCCATCCTCCTTCTCCTACATGAACGGCGTTCAGTATATTTGGCGGGTTGGCTCGACATATTCTCTCCCCGTTGAGAGAGCGCAGAGAAAGCGAATAGTGGGAGGCGAGCACGCGTCAAAGCGTCGCACCTTGTACTTGACTACAGCAGAACATTATAATTCACGCTTACTTCGGGTGCTCCCTCCGACCAAATGGCTTAAGTTGGAGGGAACATCAAGCCAATAGCACGTAAACTACACCGCGGGGAGGGCCATGATAGATCGAAGCGAACATATCCTTCGATGCTAATTGCGTGTCGGTCCACACCTTTAGGTGTTCACCTGCCACCTCACTAGATAAGTTTTCCTACATCAATCTTCGTCCCTACCGTGGAATCCTTATTTAATATATAGGTCACTAGAGTCGAAAACAACGCGGTTGGGCAAGTGGTAGATACCGTTTGTACAAATCAAGGAAATTTCGTCGAAAGACTGTCGGATGTCGGATACAAGGTGCTTTTCGCCATCAAACTTTTTGTTCTCCGAGTGATGGGCGAGTGATGAGAAGGCAAAAATTGCTAGAGAACAGATGTGGCGACAACAGCTCATGGGCGAACGCGGACAAGCCATGTTCGAGAACTCTCCGATGTGTGATCGAAGACACGTGCGATCGCGCATTGTCGCGGAGCTCATTGAATTGGCGCCGTTTTAGCTTCTGTGTAACTGTGTCGAGCAGACAATAGGCAGATGCTTGTCATCGTCGATCCTGAAGGCATAATATCCCACTGATGACGTTTTGAATTCACAAACACTTTCCCTCATAAATGTCTCCAATGAACTCCAGTTTCGCAGACACTGTCGTTCCAGGTATGGCAGGGGTCAAACATTGGGAATCCAGCGAATCGTGGGCATAGGAGCGATGGAGCCAGCGGGTCGACCGGTGCAGTAGCACATCGCAACCACGCAGTAAGGAGGCGACAAGCAGGGTGAATATCGGTCAAGGAACTCCTCGACAGAGGGGTCGTATTTGTCAGCGTTGGTACAGATAGGAGTGAGATGGTGTAGCGCAGCGGCGAACATATTGAAATACTAAAAAACAAATTGAAAAACATATTGAAAGAAGAAAAAATTGAAATATTCTTTGCAGGTTCATTCGCTGCATTGTTCTACCTCCATGATAAGAAGCATTTGAAAGCAGTACAAGGAACCAAAGTGCATCTCCGCGAGGAACGGGGCCACATGTACACACGCGCTGTAAAGGCCCCTCCTTGGTCTGCGGTCCGCTTCCTCGCCCTTGATACCTCGTTGAGAATAGCACTGTTTAGGGCGCTGTAACAAAAACGACAATAGTTTTGAAAGGCCTTGTAAAAATGAGGCTGTTCCTTAGGTTATAGGACTTACGAGATGTGCTACGGTTTCTGTGAACAGGTCATCATCATGTATTAGGTCGTGAAGAAAGTTCTTGCGCTTTTCGGTGTTTCGTTTTTGAACGCTTTATTTTGTTACGGATTCAATCAAGCTACAGATGAGCTGTACGTGGTTTTGAAGAGCTTTTTTTCTGTTCTAGCCAACTGCTAGGCTAGCTATGTTCTTTAGTACTTTGTTGTCATTTTTTGAAGCCTTGAATACGGCATACTCCGAGAGCAAATTTGCATGATTTCCTTTTCTAGCTCAAAGCAGGCCAGTATAGAGAGGAAGCAGGTCAAGATATTGAAGACGCACTTAGCTGAGATTCGCAATAAATATGGTCTTGAGCGATTGTTCAGAAAGCTTTTGTAAGAATAGCGAGAGCCCTAAAGGTTGTGAGGGTGATGATCGGAGAATGGACAACGCCAACGACTAGTCGAACGTTCTGGTTGAAGCACGTTTGCACAAATCTATTGAGAGGGTTCCTTCTAAACTGATCGCACTTGCATTGTGTTTACTTGTTGAACGG